GGGGATAAAGGGAAATAACATCCCATAGACTAGATGTCGGTTGTTCTAGAAAATATACCGAATGATAACTACGAGCCCTCAGAAATGGAGTTGATGGAGTATGGCAAGTGGCTTGGTATGGAACTTCCTGCGGACAAACCTTTTCTTTGGATAGCCAGGGAGGGCTTAAAAGCTCCTCTCCCAGAGCATTGGAAAGCCTGCCGTAGTGAAAAAGGAGAACTGTATTACTTCAATTTCAAAACAGGTGAGAGCAGTTGGGATCATCCTCTGGATGATCAATTTAGGGAATTACTACAGAGTGAAAAGAAAAATCCGAGTCCTCGAAGCGTTGCTAACGGAGCTAAACCGAAACCGTTGCTATCCAAGGTAGTTAAAGAAAGTTTCATTGATAAGACAAACTCCAATGAGCAACCTATATCTTTACAAGGAGGTAACTCTAAAATGCAGACACTAAAAACGCTCAAATTGAAAAAGGAACTTCCAGGTGATCTTAAGTTAGACATTAAAACAGGAGCTGAGTCTGGTTCTGATACAAGCCCGAGAGGATTGGGGGTATCAAGTCCCAAAGAAGAAATGACGGATATGGGATGTCGAATATCAAAACGATCAACTGAAAGATTAGCTTTAAATAAAAATGCTGAATCTTTAGATTCAGCAAAAAATGCCTTTATGGCAGATTTGGATGATCAGTTGCAGCGTTTTCAAAGCGAAAAACTGAGGGAACATCAGACTAACAAAGATGAATATGAGGCAAAATTGAAAGAGTCTTGGAATCGCTCTCGAAAGCGTTTAGAAGAGGAATACGAAAGAAAATCTAAGGACCTAAAAGATGACTTAGATAAAAAATTATGTACAGAGAAAAATAGATTAGAAGAGGATCATGTTACGCAAATTCAACAATTAAGTGATGATTTTACTAGAAAGTTTGAGGAAGAAGGCAGGAAAATTCGTCAACATCTAAGTGAAGAGTACGAACGAGAAAAAAAAGATATTGAAGAACGATTTCGTTTAGAAATAGAGAATCTACGAAAAAATAAAAGCAAAGAATTCCAAAAATTACAATTTTTAGAAAGTCAGAGTTTAGATGTGATGAAGAATAGCACAGAGGAGTTAAAAGAGACTACAAGTAATTTTATTGACGCATATAAAAAGGCGCATGATGCATTCGTTGCTGTTCTTGTTGATACTAACTCAAACTACTCAAACTACAGTGTAATAGCCCTTGCACAACTTACAGAGTCTGCCAAGGAATCCTACCAAAAAGAAATAAATTCTATTAGAGATTGTTATTACTCAGATATAGAAGATATAAGGCGCAAATTTGCAGCAGATTCGGCACTTTTACAAAAAGAAAAAGTAAATTTGGCAAAAGAAAAAGCAGAACTCGAAGAGGAACGTAAGGAATATTTGAGAGAAAAGGCAAAATTACTGGAAGATAAACAAGCGAAGTTTTCTTTGTTACCTCAACCCCAACGGAAGGCAGAGGTTCATCATGATTCAGATCAGGTACAGGTTCTTGGAGAAAAATGCCCTGATACAACATTTCAAACGAGAGAGCGAAATGTTCAAGATGATAATAATGGGACAAGTCCTCGGTCAGAAAAAGAAGTGCTTGAATCTGTTGTGGCCTTTATGAAGGAGAACCACAAAAAAGAATTAGAAGAAGTTAAAAAAGATTTGAGAAAGCGTGCTGAAGAAGAATTAAAGGCTGCTTTTGATGATATGATGCAAGAGCACCGTCACATGCGTCTTGGGTCTGTAAATGAGGGAAAAGATGAGGCGCTCTCTCTTCATGGAGTTGAAAAGGCACCGTCAGAGTTAAAAACAGATGATAAGGAGTATGAAAGGTCTGCTACTGTTTCTCCTGAAATAATTAGAAGAGATGATCTCACAGCTCTTCTTACGGAGGCACTTCGTACAGTATTTGCTGGTTCACCATTTATTATTCCTTCACCAACAAACGGTGATGCTATTACAAGGAAATCCTCTGCTTGTTCTGAAGCAATTCCTAGTCCTCCAGTTTTTGAGACAAAGGAAGTTAAGTTAGAACGACGTGTAGATACATTTCCTGTTTCTTTCCAAGAGCAAAAAGCCCTTCTGGCAGGTGAACGATATCGAATAGAGGAGGGAAAAAGGTTTGTAGAAAATCAACGTATGGGTTTGGAACAACGACGGTTTCAACTTAAAACGGCAAGACATCAATGGAAACAGGATGTTATAGCTGCTAAAAAAGAAGGATTACGATCTTCTTCTAGAGAAGGACAATTACTTAACAAACTACGAATTACATTAGAAAATCAAGCAAAGGGTCTAGAACATGATGAAGTTATTCTTCGAGATAGTGAAAGATGGCTCCTCATGAAAGAACAGATGGTACAAGAAATGGAACGACAAATTAACGAATTAGAGGGAGGAAAAGCACGTGATACATCCACTAACAGTTTGGATACAGTGGCTCTTATGACAAGCTTTTTTAAACCAACAACCAGAACAGCAGATTGGTATCCACAGGAGAAAGAACCCATCCGGGAAGTTGTACACACAAGAACGCTGAGTCCAATGTACGGCAAGACTCTGGATAAAATAGCGAGGCGTTTAGAGGAGGTTACTTCAATGATGAATATTCAAAAACGGAAACGAACTTTCTCCTTGCCTCATGGCATTATAGAGCGACGCCGTTCTGGTCAAAAAACGACAAAGGGAGTGGAGTTTATTCTCAATGAGAATCGGGAGTTTTAGATGACTGTAGTTGTTTGTAATTTTTTTTTGTTTTATTACTATCTTTTATTGTTTGGGACTTTTTGCTCTTAATGGGCATTCTTTAAGATATTCATTCCTGAAAGAGGAGAGGAAGAAAACTTCCAAAAAGGATTCTGCTGAATGACTTAAACAAACAAAATCAACAACAACATACTAGAAGCAAGTGGAAGCGATCCGTTTCTCCCCTGTGGGTATTTTCCTTTGAGGAATGTGTGTCTGGGTACGCTGTGTTTGTAAGCATAGTAATAAACCATTCGGATGAATGGTTTTTTTTTTGTTGGTTTTTTTTTTTAATTTTGCTTCCTTCCTGTGGTCTTCTGTCCCCTATGTATAGTTTTTTTTTCTTGTTGATTTTTTTTTTTCCTTTTTCAGTTAATCAGAGTAGATTTAAGTAGGGTGACGAGAGGGAATTATTATTATTATTTTGTAAGGGAGTCTTCAAAGGAAAGAAAGCATTCATGTTAAATGAAGACTGCATCACTGCTCGTAGCGCAACACCGTATTGCAAAATACCTGTAGATTCGCTTGACAGACGTTGTTGTTTTTGTTTGTGCTCTGCGCATTCACAAAGTCAAAATTCCTCAGAAGCACCGAATGTATTCTCTCCTCAAACAACGGCAGGTTTTACAACGTCACAAGACACTCAAACACAGTCTGAATGGAGTCAATTTGATGAGTGTCGATATTCCGTTCCTCCTACCGTGGGATGTCGCTGTTCCTGTGGAGATGCTTCGACTCTCACGAATTCACTTTGTCTGACTCCGATGCAGGAATACGAATTTGGGCCATCCGGTACTGAACTAGTAAGGGAACAGAATGAGATGAGCCAACATAAATCCACTTTTCATCCTTCACTGTCGTTTTCTTCTCCTTTCCTGTCATCAGAGTTCAGAGTTAACGCCACATCTTCTGCACCAGTGATACTTTGTGAGGAATTGAGCCTTTCTCGGGAACCTCTTTATATAAGCGCGCCTATGTGGAGTTCATTGGGTGCTACTGCCTTTTGCTGTAATTCTCAGGACAGTCGATCTAATGCGAGAAAGGTGGGTTTACCAAAGTATAATGAGGAGAAACGAGAGCCATTGGTATCCAATACTACTACTAGTACTACTAATACTACTGCTACCGCTCATAATAATAATAAAAATAATAATAATAATGCTGGTTCATCTGTGGCTCCACTCAATTCTCCAGTAATGTTGGTTACGCTTCAAGAAAACCGATACCGAAGAGAATGGGTAGGAGCTCGCAGGGTTGAACCTGCGGTGACTGTTGCTGATGTTCTCTATGATAAAGTAGGTGCAACTTGTAAAAAAGAGTCACTGGGCTGTTATGGACTTCATAATATGACAACACCCTTTCTTCAGTCTGGACCGAAGCTGGATACTTCACCTGATGTATCGTTGTCATCATTTTCCCACACGTGCAGAGACTCAATCATGGAGCCTCTTCCAGAAGGAAATAAAAGGTCAAACCGAGAGGACTGGTTGGATCAGGGATCATTTTGGGCTGCCCGTCGAGACGCGCAGAAATTCGCTTTGTCATATATTCTGGAGCGATTTTCTGACGATGTGATGCCACTTGAAGGAAACTGACATTTTTGTATATATGTATATATAAACATGTTTGGTTTCCCGGTGGAGATACTTTTTCCCTTTCACCCCTCTCTTTTTTTTTTTTGTGCTATTTTGCTTAATTTTCACGTGAAGCTCGTGTGAAGTGATTTCTCTCCCCCCCAAAATTTTTGCTCCATAGGGTTTGACGTTTTCTTCTTTTTTTCCTATGCTTACTCTATTCTTCTTTCCCATTTGTGTTTTCTTTCTTTCATTCCACTTCTTATTTTACTTGTTTCTGTGTTTGCTTTTATTATTATTATTATTATTATTATTATTATTATTATTATTATTATTATTATTATTATTATTATTATTATTATTATTAATACAGCCATTTTGACTTTTTGTTTTCGTTCATCGTTCTTGGTATTGTTTTGGGAATACGACGTGAGGATACATCTTATTATCGATGTAAGCCTAGTCCACGATGTTGGTTGCTCTTGGCCTTTTTCATCCGTTCTATTCGCTTTTGGCTTTATATCTATTCCTCAATTTTCCCCTAAACTTAATTTCTTCTTTTGAATACTCTGCGAGGACCCGGTAAAGGGATTTTACTAATATCTATTACTAAAACCGTTAACGATACCGTTAGTAGTATTAGTAATGCTGGTAATATAATTTTTTTTTTCTCTGTTTTGTGTGTTCTTTCTTTTCGTGTGTTTTCTTTTTATTATATATATATATAATATTAAGGAGTGAAGTGTTTGATTGCTTGAAGATGTTTTTTTTGACTACTTCTTGGCTTTCTTATTCTTCACACGGTTTTCTCTTTTTCTTTTCGTTTTGCGTGCTCTTAACGTTTGTGCTCTCTCTATGGTGAGAAAAAAATATACAGTTGGAGCACCACTACCATTGCTATTCTCACAACTACGACGACTATACTATAGTTGTTGTTGTTTTTCTCTTCGTGCCTGTGCGTGTGTTTGAAGAGAACACGATAACAACACGGAATGAGTGTAAGGGAACTTCAACCGCAAAAGAAGAAAAAAAAAAAAGAAGAGATGAACCATTACAGTGAATGAAAAAAGGAGTAGGACAGATGAGGAAGAGATAGATTTTTTTTAAAAAAAAAGAAAAAGAAAAGGAGAAAAAAGGAAAGAAAGGAAAAAAAAAAAAACAAAGGAAGAAAAAGAAGAAAGTTCTACAAATGTAGTACGGAACTGAAAAGAAAAAAAATTACATGTGGGCGTTGAAAGTGGATTTCTCTACTTAATGGGCTCTATGTGAAGATTAGAGGATTCTGCTGAGATTGGGATTTACCGCTGAATTGGGCGGGTATTGCGAAATAAATGGGAATGGAGGGTTTCCTGCTCTGCAGGCCCCCATCCCCTTTTCCTACTTTTGTGTATCTCAAGCAGATTAAAAAAAGCGAAAGTATATATAAATATATTATTTATTTATTTATTTATTTATTTATTTATATGTTTATTCGTTTATTTATAAACGAATAAAAACGAAAAATGAAACAGAAACAGAGCATAGATAAACAGAGAAAGAAGCAACCCATCTCTATTGAGATGGCTAAATGAATAACCTTAAGAAGAGACGGAGAAGAAAACGAAAAAAGAAAAAAAGAACAAGAGAGATGTAGTGGAAGTAAGGACACCCCCCTCCAAAGAAAAAAAAAGAAGAGACCTTGTTTCTACATCTTTTTCTTCGGGTGGGTATCCTTGAATTCCCATTTTTTCTCTACTCTTTGGTTTTTATTTTTATTTTTTCCTGTTCGTTTCCGTACAGGTTAAATTAAAAAGTTTTTTTTTTTTTTTTCTTTGCTGGGAACGAAAGGAGTGAAAATTTGATATGTTTTTTTTATTTTTGCTGGTACTAGATGTGTGTTTGTTTCACAACATATCTTTAGACATATGCTATGATCGTAACGACCATGAGGTATGAGATTACTGATAATAAAAAGGTTGTTTTTCTCTATTATTATTATTATTATTATTATTATTATATATCTGATGCAACTATTTACACACACATACTCTATATATATATACCTGCTCTGTGCGAGATTATATGCAGTGTGAAAAGAGAATTATGTGGATGAGTGGGTGCGAAGTATATGTTATCATCGCTTATCTGATTACGAGTTTCATATGGTTTGGATTTGTCGCTATTCAGTGCAAGCGTACCTATATCTTTTTTTTTTTATACTCTTTCTTTTTCCCATTTGCTTTTCTGTGTCCTTTTACGACACACTCATCATTTTTCCATCGTTTTTTTCACCTCTCTCTATTATTTTCACCATTATATATATATATATATATATATATATATCTATCTATCATTTGTATGTGTTCGAAGATTGCCTGTTTTTATTTTCTTGAGATTTCATTTTGTACATATCACAATACTTCTTCACTCTCACCATTTTTTCACTATATATATCTATTTGTTCTTTTATCTATTTATATAACTCTCTCTCTCTATATATATATATATGTACTTTTATCTATCTATATATCTATATTTGCTTATTCACGACCTCTAATGTGGAAGGGAATCTTGCTAGACCTGAGTCACAAGGAATAAATGAATGAAATGGAGAGAACAAAGAAAAAAAGAAAAGAGTAGTTTTTTTCCTTTTTTTTTTTTTAATGAGGATTCCGCATAGAGCAGGATAATCATCATCAAAGAAAAGAGACGTGGTGAATAGGGTAAACATATGATCTTTTCTCTTTGTTTCCCTATTCACTCGTACGAATAGAAAGGCACCCATTCACGCTTACTCTTTTATTTCCCTTTGTTGCTCCATCTTGTTTTCCTTAACAGTACAAATGAAGGAGGTGATGCTTTTTCTGGTTTTTTGTTGTGCATATATAT